GGGCTGGCACCGGCCCGGGCCCCAGGCACCCTGGGGGCACCCGGCTGGCCGGTGATGGGCACGCTGCTCCTTGCCAGCCCCCCGCCGACCTCGTCCCCCCCTCTCCCTGTCCCCCAGGATGTCGGCGTGCACGGCCCAGAACCAGGAGCTGCAGAGGAAAGTCCTGCACCTGGAGAAGCAGAACTCGTAGGTGTTCCCAGGGCAGGATGGGGACGAGGTGGGGGTAGTATGGGGTTGGGACTCCCCGCCCCCCAGACCCCTGGCCAGGCCTGCTACGGGGCAGGAGGGGCTTGGAGAGGTGCTAATGGGCTCTCCCTGTCCCCAGGTCCCTCCTGGAGCAGCTGAAGAAGCTCCAGGCTCTCGTGGTACAGTCAAGCAACAAGGCAGCACAGACGGGAACCTGCATCGCGGTGTGTGGAGCCCCCAAACCCCCCCCCAGCCTCCTTGCTTCGAGGGAGGGAGGGAGGGAGGGACGCTCAGACCCACGGAGATGTAGAGGTGCTAATGGGCTCTCCCTGTCCCCAGGTCCCTCCTGGAGCAGCTGAAGAAGCTCCAGGCTCTCGTGGTACAGTCAAGCAACAAGGCAGCACAGACGGGAACCTGCATCGCGGTGTGTGGAGCCCCCAAACCCCCCCCCAGCCTCCTTGCTTCGAGGGAGGGAGGGAGGGAGGGACGCTCAGACCCACGGAGATGTGCTGGCAGGGGTGGATGGAAGGATGGGCAGAGGGATGGGCGTGTGCTAAGGCAGAGGGATAGATGCTCCAAGGTTGGCTGGATGGAGGAAGGGATGGAGGCATGCGAGGACGGATGGAGGAAGGGATGGAGGAAGGGATGGATGGATGGATGGATGGATGGATGGACGGATGGATGGATGGAGGTGCGCTGGCAGGGGCACGTGCACAGGGAGGGATGGAGGGACGCAGTCCTGGTTCTGCCACCAGCCCCCTTTCTCTGGGAGCCGTGTCCCAGAACCTGGTCCCCCCTCCGCCTCTGTGCACGGTGACGTCCCCCCTCTGCCCCCAGGTCCTGCTGCTCTCTTTCGCACTCATCGTCTTCCCCTCCATCAGCCCCTTTGCCCCCAGCAAGGCCAAGGCGGACGGCGACTTCGGACCCGTGCGAGGTGAGGGCTGTGCCGGGGCTGCACCAGGAGCTCCGGGCACGGGAGCGGGCCCTGACCCTCCTTCGCCCTCAGTTTTCTCCAGGTCCCTGCACAACGCGGCCGCGTCCCGTGTGGCTTACACACAGCCCCAAGCCCGGGACGAGAAGCCCCCGGAGCCGCTGTGGCCGGAGCACCTGGGCGAAGCCCCCGAGACCCTGCACGAAGCCTTCGGTGGCCGCACATTCACCCCACGCCCGGACAAAGTCTCCCCCCGTAATGGCACGCAGCCGCTTGCCTCAGAAGGGCTGAGCCGTGGGGACGGGGATCAAGCTGACACCGCGTCCGGGGACGGCACCGCACCGCACCACGGCCTGGCATCGCTGGCTTGGACCAAGGCTGGCCACAGCAGGCCCACGGTGCTGGAGCCGGCTGAGGAGCTTTAAGCAGCACCCAGGGACCACGGGGGATGCGATGGGGTGGCTCAGCACCTCAGCCCCTACGGGACAAGCCCTCGGGGTGGCCCCTCTAGGATCTGCCTCCAGGCGCAGGCGGATGCTGGACCCACTTGGCTTCGCTTCTATCTGTGAACTGGGAAGATGAGACCGGTTCCCACTGGCCTTACTGGGAGGGAGGGGGCTGCTCCTGCCCCCCGGGGTGCAGCAGGAGTTGCGGAAGGGACACGGGGTCGCTCAGGATGGGGACGAGGTTAACTGGAGGGGTCCTGGGCTGGTTGGCTATTGATGTTGCAACTGGTTGGTTTTGTTCTTTTTTTGTTTGGTTTTTTTTTTTAAGCTTTATTTTCATCTCTAAATAAAAGGTGTTTTGGAAAAAATCCACCTGCTTTAGTTTACTGTGGGGTGATCCACAAGGTTTCAAGGACCCTTGGGGCCAGGGACACTTCGAGCCCAGCTGCCACAAGGCAGCAGGGTCCAGCAGAGCTGGGACGCGTGGCCAGACCCAGCCTAGGGCTGCCCCGGGAGCAGCGGGCACAGCAGGAGGCAGCAGGGAGGGCAGGGGGACCCGGGGCACCGTCCCACAGCTCCCAGCCCTGCGCCGGGCCAGGAATTCGGCCAGCACCAGTCCCCTCCCCTTCCACCACCCAGCGACATCCCCCCCGATCACCGGCACGCACGGGACCGGCTCTGCGGGCAGATCTCAGCCAGGAGATTGCGGCGGCTCACCCCAACCACCGCCCGGCCCCAGTTTCAGTTGAGATGGCACCGGCTTACCCCAGTGATCCCCCCGCGTCGCTGCCCCAGCGCCGAGCACCCTCGTCCCTCTGCCCCTCCGAGGTCTGCTGGACCATCTCCTCGCAGAGAAGGAATTAGATGCTCGGTCCGTTTCAAGCAGGCAGCGCCCTTCCCGGGCCGGTGGGTGCAGCTGCCCGGACACACGCGATTCAAGTGTATTTAATACTTACATAAAAAAAGGGACAATGTTTAAGGGTATAAAAAAACGTCGGTAGGAAAAGCGACACGGATGAGTGTCTAGACAGACAGGGAGCAGTCTGGGTCAGGTGAGGAGAGGCTCCACCTTCATCTTCTTCACCGTCGTTGGCCCCGTATCCGGGCTGGGACACTCCTGCTTCAGACTGTCACGGCGCTCCACCAGCGTGGTCCCAAGGTCAGGGCACAGCCCGCCCGTGCCGTTGTGCTGGGAGAGGGGCTGCTCCTTCAGCAGCCCGCGAGCCCCGGGGTCAAATTTGAAGAGCTGTTCGGGCTTGGTGAGCTCAGCGCTTTCCACCACCACCGGCCCCGTCCACTCCGGGACCTCCAGCCCCAAGTGCTTCATCAGCTTCGTCATGACATCATCGACGTAGGCGTGGATGCGCAGGTCGGCCTGTCTGTCCTGGGGCGAGCGAGGGCAAGCACGGCGTTAGGGGACGAACACAGCGTGCGGGGACAAACGTCCCCTCCCAGGGAGCGCGTGGGGACACGGGGCCCGGGTGACGGCTCAGCTGCACGTGGGTTCCAGGGCTCCTGTCCCTGAGACATCGTCCCTGGTGGAACACGAACTGAGACCCTGACCCCGTCTGGCACCACTCCCCGGCTACGCCGCAGGCTGATAGGGCTCTATCAGGGTGTGGGCAGGCAGTCTCCACCTCGAGACACAGCCCAGAGACGGGGACGTGGATGCAGAGCCAGGCTAGCGAGCCCAGGACGGAGTGGGACAGGGACAAGGGAGCTCTAATGACATCCCAGAAACCCCCCAGCTCCAGTTATTCGAAAGACTTCGGACAATTGGGGCACCAAAACCAGGGCTGAACATGAACTGAACTCCTCTGCCCCGTGGCGTGGGTTCCGTGTGTGCAGTTACTTAATCACTGTAATTCACCGGAGGATACATCAGGCTTTGGGCCGAGTTTTTATTCTGCTCTTAAGATTTACCTTCCATTTCTAGGTGTTTTATCAGGAGTTGCAGGTTTAAACCCTCCAACGAGGGAAGCCCAGCCTGTTTTCTTGCTAAGCGAGGCCACTCTTCTACCTGGCCGCCTGGGAGGGGGTCACGTGTGGGGACCAAACTGTGATGGGGCTGAAAACAGTGACGCGAGGGGAAAGGAGCAGCGCAGAGCAAATTGCTCTGAGCGCAGAGCAGCGAGGACGCTCTCACTCACGTGTTTGGTTGCTTGTAGGTTGACTATGACCAGCTTCCCTCCTCTCTTCTTCGTGATCAGCGGGAGGTTGCCACTGGGTTTGATCTGCAGAGAGGTCCCCAGGGTGACGGAGAGATCAGCTTTCCTGCAGGGAGGAGACAAAACATCCAGGGCAGAGAAAAAGCCGTGGCTGTTTGCAGGCTGCTTCTCCTACCCTGCTCCAGTGTGGACTCTACAAGCTTCCCAGCCGGGAAGCAAAGCTGTGGCCAGAACTTGCAGTGGTTTCTCTCGGTCACTTTCTGGGGAGAGGGCTGGGCGTTGCTGTGCTGTGGGTACAGCCTCAGGGCTGCGAGGCACAAAACACGGTCAACAAAGCCAGGCAGGGTTGGCTCGAGGACCGCTGCGGTGCTGGCAGAGGACGGGGAGCCCCGGCAGTCTCCCGGGGCACCGCGAGCCGCAGGCATCAGCAGCCGCCACGGCGTGAAGAGCCCAAGCACAGTACCTGCAGGCTTCGTCCGCCAGCGTGAGGTCGCGGTCGGGCAGGGAATCTTCCCAGTCCAGAATAGTGTCTCGTAACTTCCCTCTAGAAAACACACACAGGGACCACAGTTTCCCCCTGCCAGGCAGGAACAGGCAGCAGAGCTGCCCTGGGAGAGGGGACAGTGACCCAGATCCTGTCCCACCCTCCCTGGCCCAGCACTGCAAAGGGACAGAGAGAGCCCAGACAAACCGAGGGGACTCACCGGCAGGCGAGGGAAGGCACAGAATTCGCCTGCATGAGGGATTTTGTGGCTGGTGCTGCAACGCCACCAAAGCGCCAGCTGCTTTGCTGTCCCAGTTCAGAGCTGGGACGCGCTCTTCACTCCCCAGCATCAGAGCTGAGTCAGCAGAGCTTTGCCCCACAGCCCGGAGCCCCCGGCTCTGCTGTGCTGGCTCTGCAGCCAGCCTGGATGAGAAAAGCAACTGGGCTGGGCTCGGTGAGCCTGACTGAGGAAGCACGAGGGACGTGCGGAGCGTGTCTGGATGCCAGATCACCTCAGGGTACCTCCAGCTGCAGAGCTGGAAACACTGGCTACGCTTCCCTACTGAAGGCAAGCAGCACCAGGGCAGCGCAGTGGCCGTATCCTGCTGGAGGGGAAGGGGCTCTCTAGAGCTGCCATCCCACAGCAGGGCCTTCCCCAGCACTAGGACGTGCTCAGGTTATCGGCATGGGAAGACCCCCCCCAAGGAGGCTGCGTGGCTGGGACTCCTCGGAGACGTGGGTGCTGGCTTCCTATCTGGGCTTTTGGAGATCTCCCCTACACCCGCTGCTTCTCCACCTGAGCTGGAGGGACTGTCGGCCCAGCCCTGCAAAGCCAAGTCTGCGTACCAGAGCCACTCGCTCGGGTGAACGGGTCCCTGCCACCCCACGTCCCCTCGGGAGCCCCCGTCCAGCGCCCCAGCAGACGTACCTGCAGGCCCGCAGCCCCCGGGCTTTGGTGACGCTGCACAGCCTGCCCGTTGGCTTCAGCCCCATGCTGCCCACGACCGCGTCCCGCACGTACTGCCTGCAAGAGCGATGGTGCCATTCAGGGCCAAACAGGCAGGAGGGGGGTGGGATGCAGCCCCCCCCCCCCCCAGGATATGGCACACCTCACACCACAGACGCCCTGCTCGGAGGAAGCAGGTGATGGCTCAGAGCCACACGCAGTGAGCGGAGCATCTCAGTCCTTCATCGATCTCTGCCCGCGTCTCTAACCAGGCGCTGCTGACAGCAGCTCTGACCAACAGCCCCAGAGGTCTGCCACAAACCAGGACGGAAAACCCAGCTTGTAGCAACCTCCTCTCCTCTCCTCTCCTTTCCTCTCTCCAGCTGGCAGGCGCAGACCTTGCTGCAGGCAGCCCTGCTGGCGCATCCACCTTGCCACGAGGAGCAGGATTTGCCGAGGGCCTCCCAGGCAATGGAGAATTCCCAGAACGTTCATTTCCCGCCGTTTGACAGGGTTTAGGATTCGGACGGACAGATCTGTGCGTGACCCCACGCACGCTGCGCTAGAGACCTGCCAGGCAGACAGCCCCACGGCACGTGCAGGGCCTCCATCGCTCCCCGGGGACAACAACAAAGCCCCCACCCCGCTGATGCCCGCCCCAGGCTCAGGGCTCACGTACTTGCCGCATTTCACGCACTCTTCCACAAACATGTTCCCGTGGAGCTCAGCCAACTTGTCCCTGTGGGAGAAACGGCAGAGGTGAGCTGGGGAAGGGCGGAGAGCCCCTGGGGCAACAGGGAAAGCCGCCCAAACCCACCTCCTCACCAGGGGTCCAGCACCTCAAGGGCTTCCCCACTTTCCAGCTCGGCCGGATCAGACCTGCCAGGTGACGTGGGGTGGCAGGGACCCTCTGCCATGGCCTGGGGACAGTGCCCCAGCACAGGGTCAGCACTGAGGGGAATTATATTAGTTATAGACAAATATGGCTGCAGAAGAGCAAGGAACCAGTGTCAGGCAGGCTCTGGGGACACTGGGTGCCACAAAACGACCTGGCCTTGCTGCAGGGAGGCAGCTGGTTCGGCAGAGAAGACCGTTGGCCCGGCCACCGAGCGTGGGGGCTTCCCTGTGCCGAGCGTGGCCATCACGTGCGGGGCAAGCAGGCACCGGCAAAACTACGGCACACTGAGCACCGCTTTGTGCTTTTAACACAAGAAATACTGTTCAAAGGGAGTTTGGGCAGAGCCGTCCCTCCTGCGGGGCAGGGGAGACCCAGAGGACACGTTCAGATCCTGGCAAGAGGCCTTCTGTGCCACGGTTTCATCTCCATCACGGAAGCACTACGCTATGGCCACCACAGCTGGGACTAAGGGGAGGGACAGCA